GAGGGAGCGGGGCGCGGGCGGCGGCCAGCGGCGGCAGCAGCGGCGGCGGCGCTCGCCTGTCCCTGCTCGCCGCGGCGCTCGCTCCTATACCGCCGCCGCACGAGGAGCGCCGCTCGCGTCACAGCCCGCCCTCGAGCTCGCCGCGGATTGGCCGCCGCCCGCCGGCCCGGCGCGTCACAACCGCCGCCGCCCTCGCCACGCCACCTCCTTATTGGCTGCGGCGCCGCCCCCCGCCCGGGGCGCTGCCGGCGCGGGGGGCAGGCCCGGCGCGGGGGGGGGGCGGGGCGTCGAGCCGGCGCCGGGGGTCGCGGGGTTCGAGTGCCGCAGGCGAGGCCCGGGGGCGCCCCTAGAGCGTTGCGGGGGCCGGGCGAGGCCGGCCTCCAAGCCTCGAGGGTCTAGGGCTTGGCTTTGCGAGCCGAAAGTTCGCTTGGACCCCGGGGGACCCCAGGACATCAGAGGCCGGGGCCTGGCAGGGGGCAGGCAGGAAGCTGACGCCTGGAAGCTGGCTTCTCTTTCCGCACGACCTTGGGGCAAGGCACCTCCTCCTGCAGCTCCGTGGCTGTATTTTTTATAACCTTTCCCAGCGGCGGCTCAGCTCCTCGCGAGGCGCGACCACGCTCCGTCCAACCCAGAGGCGGAGGAGCTACTCTCCCCTAGTCAGAAACCGAGGTCCGAAAGAGGGCAGAGGCGATTGGTTCGAGGCCGCACGGGTGACCCCGCCCTCCGAGGCCCCTGGCAGCCTCAGTTTCCCTGTCCTTGGTGCTGAGGACGCAGGGGCCTAGAGGCTCCGGGCGGGCAGGGCTGCGTCCCGTGGCGGGGCTGCGACAGCCGCGCGGAACTCTGTCCAAAGGTGAATGACACGGGGCTGCTGGCTTTGTGGGCGCGCCCCACCCGCCCCCGCGCAGGAGGCAGCCCCGTGACCGTGACTAACGCACCTTTGCCCGCCGAGGGGCACGAGAGCCCTGCTCCCGTTGGCCACACAGTCTGGTGTCCCTCACTCCTCTTTGACTCCGCCGTCCCGATCCTTTCTGGAAGTGGGTTACGGATAAAAATTACAGATCCCGTTTTATGGGACATGAGCTGGAACAAGAGGTTTCCCAGGCTGCTTCGGAAACTAAGCGCCTGGATTACAGAAAATGGCTTCTGTGTGGGATTTCAGTCTGCCCACGGCAAAAAAAAAAAAAAAAATCTCTTTTTAGACAGCGTGTACTTGGCTGAACTTGCTCCGAGGGAAAAAAAAAATGGTCTTATTGAACAAAAGCGTTATAATGAAAGGGGGCTTGCGACCAGACAGCTGTAGAGGTGGGGCCTGTACTGGACTAGCCCAGGCGTTTAGGAGGAAGGCAAGGTGGGAGTCCCATTGGATGTTTGAAAAGTTGAGAAGTCAAGGTCTCCAGTCAGAACATTTAGATAAGGTAGCCAAGGACTTTGTCTAAAAATAATACTGGTAAGGAGGTGGGGCCATGTCCAAGGCCCGCCCAGGTGACATACTTTTTGTTCCACTGTCCCCTGGCAGCCGCCTAGTAATCTCAGGAATGCCAGAAACCTGGCAGGGAGAAAAGTCACTAGAAGTAAGAGTTGGGTCTCCGTGTTTTGAAATAACTGGCATCTGCTGGTTTGGGCTGTTCGAACGCACAGGCGCCTTTATGGGATGGCAGTTCCCTGTGGGAGGAAAAGGATGCCTTATTGAAGGTGTTAGGAAAGTTTTATGTAGTATCGCTTCCCTTTATAGATGTGAAGACTGAGTCCTGCTGAGGCTGCATACCTCAGCTGAGGTCCCTTGGCTGAGAGGCAAGGGCAGGTGTCCTGGCTCCTTTGTGTGAAGAGTATGACTTCCAAGAGGATAGAAAACTTCCCTCCCCTACAGGCAAACTAAGTCCTGAATGTAGCTCTAATGAGCTCATCCTTGGCTTGGCCACTCAGGGCCCACCCTTAGTGCTGGGGCAAAGCCACCAGGGTAGAGACTGAGGAAGCTTGGCATGTCGTGATGCTAAAATAATAGGTTAGGTTTTACATGAAAAAGGACTAATTCTGGGGCACCTGGGTAGCTCAGTCGTTAAGCGTCTACCTTCGGCTCAGGTCATGATCCCAGGGTCCTGGGATCGAGCCCCGCATCAGGCTCCCTGCTCGGCGGGAAGCCTGCTTCTCCCTCTCCCACTCCCCCTGCGTGTGTTCCTGCTCTCGCTGTCTCTCTCTGTCAAATAAATAAATAAAATCTTTAAAAAAAAAAAAAGACGAATCCTGCCATAGACATAGGGGAGGACTCACCAGGGGGTGTTTGAGCAAGGCTTTGAAAGGTTGAGAAGGCATTTCTCAGGCAGTCCACTTTCCAGAGTAATCTGTGAGGATGTATAATGAAGATGGGGCCTAGCATGCAGTAGGTGCTCAGGAAAAGTGCCAGACCTCACTATCCACAAGGAGAAACCCAGAGTGGTAAATATGCCTATGACCCTTGAGCTGGCAACTTCATTCCCAAAACACTCTCCCAAGAAGTCATCCAAAGCAAAAAGCCCCATGCATCATACTGAACACTGCCTCACCATCTCTAACTGGAGAAAGCTGGAAATAATGTTCGTCCAGCACCTAGACCAGGCTATAAAAGATGTTGGGCCCATGGCGCGCCTGGCTGGCTCAGTCCGTAGGGCTTATGCCTCTTAATCTCGGGGTCTGGGTTCAGGCCCCACACCGGGCATAGAGTTTACTCAAAAAAAAAAAAAGAAAGAAAAGAAAAGGTGTTGGGCCCACATATCGGTGTATCAGGAGTTGAACACGACCAGGTTGAAGGTGGTAGGAAGGGTCATTTTCCACATATTTATCAAGTGCCTTCGATGTGCCAGTCATTGGCAGCACTGGATATTGGGGAAAACAGCTCTGCCTGGCTCTGATTCCAATCTAGAAAAGCAACACTGTCCACCCCATTGCCAACCAGTCCCTCTCCCCTCACCCGTATTTGTTCATTGTGCATTGTCCATCTGCTCGACACATGGAACTTCCAGGAGAGCTGGGACCTTGACTATCACTCTCTACTCACGTGACCGGCAGCCCTGATGTTTGTGGACACTCAAATATTTGCTGACTGCATGAAGTTCTGGCTCAGCGCTTACTAACCGTATGTCTTTGGACGGAGCCTCCGTTTCCTCAGCTGTAAAATGGGGATGACAGGCATACCTCAGAGATATTACAGTTTCAGTTCCAGACCACCACAATAAAGCAAATATCACAATAAAGTCAGGCAAATTAATGTTTTGGTTTCCCAGTGCAGATAAAAGTTATGTTTCCACTACACCGTAGTTCATTAAGTGTATAATAGCATGTCTTAAACACACACACACACACACACACACACACACACACACGCACACACACAACACCATTTATATACCTTAATTTAAAAGTACTTTATTGCGGGGCACCTGGCTGGTAGAGCATGTGACTCTTGATCTCGGGGTTATGAGTTTGAGCCCCACGTGGGGTATAGAGATTACTTAAAAATAAAAAACATCTTTATAAAAAAGTATTGGGGTGCCTGGGTGGCTTGGTCGGTTAAGCCTCTGCCTTCGGCTCAGGTCATGATCCCAGGCTCCTGGGATCGAGCCCCATGTCAGGTTCCCTGCTCAGCGGGGAGTCTGCTTCTCCCTCTCCCTCTGCTGCCCCCTCTGCTTGTGCTCCCTCTCTTTCTGTCAAATAAACAAATCTTTAAAAAAAAAGTACTTTATTGCTAATAAATGCTAACCATCATCTGAGCTTTCAATGAGTTGTCATCACAGATCACCATAACAAATACAAAAATGATTTTTAAAAATGTGAAATATTGCAAGAATTACTAAAATGTGACACAGAGACATGAAGGGGGCAAAGGCTGTTGGGAAAAATGGCCCCGATGGACTTACTCTACAGAGGGTTGCCACAAATCTTCCATCTGCTACAAAATGCAGTATCTGCAAAGCTCGATGAAGTGAAGCACGGGGAAAAGGAAGCATGCTGTATGACCCCCGAGGCACAGGGGTGCTATGAGGCCTGAATGAGAGGATGCGTGTGGAGCGCGCAGTGAGCAGGAGGGGCCATGTGGTTACTCCGTGGCCCAGCATCTCCGCCAGTGGCCGGCGTTCCGTAATGAATAATGTACGTACTTGGAGCCACTCAGCCCAGAAAGACAATGTCATGTCAGAAAATAATTCATTTTGGCATGGAAGGTACATTCTCTGATCAAAATGTCCACATTTGGGCACAAGTGGCCAAGGCTTAAAGAGGAATGTGCTATGGCAGGTACTGGGGCTGGGGAGAAGGGCTTCCAATCACAAAAACTCTCTTCTGGGACATAAGGAAATACTTTCCAAAAGCTCTGGTTGAGGGGCACCTGAGTGGCTCAGATGGTTGGGCGTCTGCCTTCGGCTCAGGTCATGATCCCAGGGTCCTGGGATCGAGCCCCGCATCGGGCTCCCTGCTCAGTGGGGAGCCTGCTTCTCCCTCTGCCTCTGCCTCTCTCTCTCTCTCTTTCTCTGACTCTCATGAATAAATAAATAAAACATTAAAAAAAAAAAGCTCTGGTTGATGCTGAATTCTGAGAGCAGACACAGAGGGTGTGGGTGATGGGCCTTAGGAACAATTGGGGGGTGGGGTGTCTCTGTCCAGTCCGTGGCATTCATGCAGACTGATTCCTATGGTCTGGCCTGAGGGACTAGGTGAGGGAGCCCTCAGGGCCACTGGGCAGACCAGGTCCCATGGGCCACAGCCCTGCCACCAACTCCAACTACAAGGCTTGTTCAAAGGAAGGGCTTTCTGAGTCTGCCTCCTCTGAAATGGAGGGGACCCACCCAGGACTTCCTGTGAATGCAAGGGAGGCTTGCATCAAAAGCACCTTCGGGGGGCACCTGGGTGGCTCAGTCGTTAAGCGTCTGCCTTCTGCTCAGGTCATGATCCCAGGGTCCTCGGATGGAGCCCCGCATCGGGCTCCCTGCTCAGCAGGAAGCCGGCTTCTCCCTCTCCCACTCCCCCTGCTTGTGTTCCCTCTCTCGCTGTGTCTCTCTCTCTCAAATCAATCAATCAATCAATCAATCAATCTTTAAAACAAAACAAAACACCTTCAGCCCAGGAAGCGCTAGAGGCTTAGTGTAGTGGGGGTTCCCTAGAGGGCTAGAGAAGCAGAGTCCTGGCTGGGCTCGCCACCCCCTCCCAGGCTGCACCCAGAACCAGGCTCCCCTACTTCATTTCTGAGCCTTAAAACATTGATGTGAGTGCTCAGAAGGCCAACGGGCTGAAATCCTACATGCTCATGATTGGGTTTCAGCCCCCGCCAGCAGTGTAATAAGGAGCTGGGCCCCTTCACAGCATGCCTGGATTTGGTCCTACCTCAGGATACTCTGTCAGCTAGCTAGAGACTAGGCAGGCCTAGCAGCTTCCTGGAGGTCTCTGAGCCCCAGCATGGTCTTACTTGGTGGCCTCCTCCCATATACCCAGCTAAGGCCACAGGCAGGGCTTAGGGCCCAGTGGATTTAAAAGAAAGCAGGTGACTGGAATGCCCACATGTCTGGTGGGTGGGACAGGCCCTCCCACCATCCCTTATTTTGCAGGGATCCTGACGATAGCATGAAGGGTAGAAACCTGTCTTTGGATATTGTGCCTCTACCCACGGCGTGGCCTTGGACAAGTTACCTACCTCTCTAAGCCAGATGAAGATAACTGTTCCTACCCTATAGCATTGTTGTGACAAGTCGCTGACACGAACTGAGGAAGGGCTGGCCACAGAGTCAGGGCCCCACTAGGGTAGCTGTGCCTTCCTACTGATTGCCAGCCGGATTCCCATCACCTGTTGTCAGGAAGGGTACATCTGCAAGCAATGCATCCCAGGTGCCTCTGGGAGAGCAAAACCTACAGGAACTCTGACAATGTGGGGCCTCCTAGAGGTCTGAGAGGGCCTGGGACCTTTTCCATTTTTCCATTTCCACTTTCAAAAATGAAGAAATACTTCAATAGGATTATTAAAACCAGGTCATATTTTAAATACTCATACTGAACTAATTGATGCTTTTATCACACATGCAAAAGGGCCCATATAAGCTAATTTTACTGTACACAAGCTAATAGTGGGAAGGGGTATAGTGTGAAGAATAGCTTTCAAGCCTGACCACATGTCTCTGTGACAATCTGATTGTCCTTATGTAGAGATGACAGCCAGAATCTAAGTATGAGGCACTCCTGAAGTCCCTGTGGTAGACCCAGGGCAGTGGCCATCCGTCTACTGGAAGTGATCCCCAGGGCCTCCCAGAGGGCATCCTGTGTTCCCAGAGCCTGTGTTTTAAAGCACAACTTTCAAATTCCCTTTCTAAATTTGGTGAACACCTGTCCTGTGGTTTTGTGCCTTACATGCATTACTTTTGGAACACAATAAGCGCATTTTTTTTAAAAGATTTTATTTACTTATTTATTTACCTTAGAGATAGGGAGTGTCCTCGAGGAACAGCAGGAGAGGCACAAGCTGACTCCATGCTGAGCATGGAGCCTGACGCCGGGCTGGATCCCACCATTGGAGATCATGACCTGAGCCAAAATCGAGAGTGGGACACTTAACCGACTGAGCCTCCCAGGAGCCCCCCAATAAGTGTGTTTTTATTTATTTATTTTTTTTAGTAAGTGCATCTTAAAAAAGATCCTGAATATGATGAAAGTCATAAGACGGGGTGAGACTTCAGGGCTAGAAGTCCAGAAACCTTGATTCAGACACTGCAGCCTACTGAGCTCCTGTCTCCTCAGTCAGCCTTGGGCTCTGCAGGCTGGACTTGGGCCAGATGGCCTTGGCACAGATCTCCTTTCTGTGGGAAACAACCAGTAGGATCCAAAGATGCCCTGTGCAGATGGGTAAGCTGAGACCCAGAGGCACAGGCAGGATGCCATGGCCGCGGCTGGGCCAAGCCTGCTTCCCTTTCTCCCGGCCCAGGGTCTGGCTTCTACTGGGAGGGTCTCTCCTCTTAGGGGTACCTGTCATCCCTAGCCTGGACGGCCCTTGCCCTGTCCCCCCACCCCCCCTTAGTGACCGACTTGGAAGCTCCCCCGCCCCGAACCCCACTGGGCCTGAGGAAGCCACTCAGAGGGCGGTGGAACCCCACTGGCGACCCTCCGCGTGATCTTGGCCGGTCCCAGAGCCTCTCAGAACGCCATGTAACAGGGCCGAGTGAGAGAATGAAGGCGAAAGCGGAAGGCGACCTTGGAAGATCTGATCTTCTGGGGCCTGGGAGGCTGTGGCCAGACCCTCCTCCCAGCCCCACGGTCTGGGCCAAATTCCAGGCCCAGCTGCTGTCCTTGGGGTAAGGAATCCGGCCCGACGGGATTCCTGCGCCACTCCCCTCTCGGCGAGAGAAGGTGCTGGGCCCGGGGCCGGGGGCCGGGGCGGGGGGCGGCGGGGGCGGCGGGGGCGCCTGCGCGGAGAGGGGTTCCCCTACCCCCCACCCCGCGCCCCAGGCGAGCCTCTGCAGCCGGGCCTCCATCGACCGCGGGGCCACCCTGCTCCGCCGGGACGTGGCCGGAGTCGCACCCTAATGTTCGGCCCGCTGACGGCCGTCCGCCTTCCCTCCCACTGGCCTGACGAAGCTGCCATTGCAATTAGAGCAACAGCAACACGGAACCGCCCCGGGCCGGGGCGCCAGCGTGTGACCCGGCGAATGTTCCGGGCCCCGGAGCCAGTTCCAATCCGGGCTGCGACCAAGGCCAAGGGCCCGCGCAGCCCTCCGCAAAGCCGCGCGCGCCCCTGGGGCTCCTGCCGTGAGACCCCCACCTTCTCCTGGCCCCTCCACCTCCTTCAGGGCGCGCACGTGGTAGGTGCTCGGTGACTGTTCCCTGAACGAACCGACTGAAAGATGCGCGAGCCGCGGGCGCCACGTGGCCTGAGTTCTCGCCCCGGTTCCATCCTATTTGCAATCAGGTAATTGTCCTCTTGGCGCCTCTGTTCCTTGCCTGTAAAATGGCAACAGCAAGAGCCCCTGCCTCATATGGTTGTTTAGAAGGATTGAGTGAGTGAATAGGAAAGAGCTGAGGACAGAGCCTGGCACGTGGCCAGGGCGTGAACCGAGAAAGAACACTGTGTTCACATCTACCTGCCTGACCCCTGCAACCCTGGCCTCTGTGCTCTTGAACCCTCGCCTGCACTCTCTTTTATTTTATTTTTTTAAGATTTTATTTATTTGACAGACACAGCGCAAGCAGAGGGAGAGCGGAGAGAGAGAGAGAGAGGGATGCGGGGCTCGATCCCAGGACCCTGGGATCATGACCTGAGCCGAAGGCAGCCGCTTAACCGACTGAGCCACCCAGGCGTCCCTCGCCTGCACCCTCTTTTTAAAACACTTTTTTAAAGATTGAATTGGAGGGGCGCCTGGGTGGCTCAGTCGTTAAGTGTCCCAGGGTCCTGGGATCCAGCCTCGCGTCAGGCTCCCTGCTCCGGAGGAAGCCTGCTCCTCCCTCTCCCTCTCCCCCTGCTCGCGTTCTCTCTCGCTGTCTCTCTCTGTCAAAAAATTTAAAAATCTAAAAAAAAAAAAGTTAAAAAAATAAAAGAAGTGTAGTTGACATACAATGTCATGTGAGTTTCGGGTGTAGGACACAGTGACTCAACAATTCTGTACCTTATGTGATGGGCACCACAGTAAGTGCAGTCACCATCTGTCACGGTGCAGTGTTATTACGACATCATTAACTTGCTTCCCCATGCTGTCCTTTTCCTCCTTGTGACTTATTTATTTTATAACTGGAAGTCTGTGCCTCCTTTTCTTACACGGATGCCAGCCGCCATGCCCTGCACTCTCTCATCACTGGAGAGACCCACCCCGAAGTTTGCTTGGGAGCATCCCACCCTGGGTCTTCTAGCTCCAGCTCTGCGTTTAGAGCTCTCCACCAGAACCCTCCCTGGCGACCATTTTCTGACTCCTTTCAACCCTCCATGCGTGGCCTTAGCACGATAGGCCCTCCAGCCAGCCCCAGGGTGGATTCCACCCCTCATGAACGCACCCCACTCTTTTGACAGAGACGCTGAGGGTACTCAGTGTATAAGTTCAGTAGTGTTAAGTAAATTCACAACGGGGGCGCCTGGGTGGCTCAGTCGGTTAAGGGTCTGCCTTCAGCTCAGGTCATGATCCCCGGGCTCTGGAATCAAATCCCGCATGAGGCTTTCTGCTCAGCGGGGAGCCTGCTTCTCCCTCTCCCTCTCCCGCTGCTGCTCCCCCTGCTTGTGCTCTCTCTGTCTCTCTGTCAAATGAATAAATAAAATCTTAAAGAAAAAGAAATAAACACCAATACAGAACACAGTATCCTGGTCTCTTCCTCCAGAACCTTTTCCCAAATTTCATCTTAAATGCTGCCAGTTATGAGATATTCCCCCTTTCACTGACCACCTTTTCTCAGCTTGGGGTGGGACCCTCTGAGTCCTTCGCTCACCCTTCTCAGGATCAGGAGGTTTGAGGGGCAGTTAGCTTCTGTTCTACTTCCCTGGTCCCTCCCACCTCTGCTGCTTCTGGGGAGCTTAAGCCCCATCCTACCAGGCAGAGATCACCGTGGCCACTGGGGGTTTGCTGAATGTCTTCCCAATCTCTCTAAGCCTGTGCCTTTAGAATAATTTTGTGTCCTACCTTTTTTTATTTTTTTTCTTCTTAAAATTATATGTGCACCTGGGCGGCTCAGTCGGTTAAGCGTCTGCCTTCGGCTCAGGTCATGATCCCAGGGTCCTGGGATCGAGCCCCGCATCGGACTCCTTGCTCAGCTGGGAGCCTGCTTCTCCCTCTCCCTCTGCCTGCCAGTCCCCCCTGCTCATGTCCGTGCGCGCTCTCTCTCTCTCAAATAAATAAATAGAATCTTAAAAAAATAAAATAAAATTATATTGTTGCCTCAGCAACAGTAGATAGATTAATGGATGGACAGAATGGGCAGATGGATAGAGATATGATACGACAACTGTAGTAGAATATTAGTTATGGTATCCAGGTGAAGAGCATGTAGAATTCACTGAACAAGTCTTTCAAATTTTCCGTAGGTTTGAGATTTTTCATAACGAAGTGTGAACATACACATACCTTAAGAACCAGTAATCGCACTCCTGGATATAGGTCCGTACTGATAGAAATGACTGCATATTATGTCTAGCAACAGGCATGCATGAACGATACCACTCGTAATAGCCCCAAAGAGGAAACAATGTAAATGCCCAACAGGAGTAGAATGTATAAACGAACTCTGGTATAGTCCCACAATTGAGTACAACAGTGATGAAGAGCACACGCCATGGGGGCGCCTGGGTGGCTCAGTCGGTGAAGACTCTGCCTTCGGCTCAGGTCATGGTCCCAGCCAGAGTCCTGGGATCGAGCCCCGCATCGGGCTCCCTGCTCCACGGGGAGTCTGCTTCTCCCTCTGCCCCTCACCCTGCTCTTGTGCTCTCTCTCAAATAAATAAATAAATAAGATCTTTAAAAAAAGAGAGAGAGAGAGAGAGCACACGTCGCACTGCGAAGGACTCTCATGGACATAATGTGGAACACAAAAGGATAGACAAAAAGGGGTACACGGATCCCGTTTATATGAAGTACTAGAACAGCAGACTTTGTCAATGGAGTTAGAAGTCAGGGTAGTGGTTTCCTCTTAGGCAGTATTGTTCATGGGAAGGGGCACTTGGGAGCCTCCCGGGGGCTGGAAATGTCCTATGTCTTGAGCTGGGTGGTAGTTACATGGTGTGTATCATGTCCAAAAATAACTGAGTTGTATGTTAAAACCTGTGGACTGGGGCACCTGGGTGGCTCAGTGAATTGAGCGTCTGCCTTCAGCTCAGGTTATGATCCCAGGATCCTGCGATCGATCGGGTCCTGCATCGGGCTCCTCTCTCAGCGGGGAGCCTACTTCTCCCCCTACTTGTGCTCACTCTCTCTCTCTTTCCGATAAATAAATAGATGGATAAAATCTTAAAAAGAAAAAAAAGCAACAACAACTTGTGGACTTTGTGTAAATTATTCTTCAACCAAAGCGTCTATCGCGAGCATTTTCCCGAATCATTTGAAATGTTCTTTAAAGATTCTGGACCCCTGGGAAGGGGAGGAAACCTGGTTTGGAAAGAAAGAGAAGCTGCCCCACAGCCTGGGCTTCCAGGAACCGGCTGCTCTAGGAGCCACTGTGGCCACCAGGGAGAGTGTCACTGTGGGATCCTGCAGCCACGGCCACCAGAAAGAGCTCCCAGGGGCCCCTGGTTCTTTGTGGAGGAATGCACAGGCCTGAGCCTCGAGGCTGGGGAGTGAGGGGCAAGGCTTCGGGGCCCCCACAGTGGGAATTCCACACTGCAGAAGGCACGTGCAATGTGGGCCAGTGGCTCCTACCCAAGGAAAAGTCATATGATGCCAACACAGCTAGTGTACAGAGCGCTCCCTAGGTACCAGGCCCCCGTGCTAAGCTTGTCATTGCAAGGAACGTCACACCGCCTATGGGGCCAGTGGTGAGGAGACAGGCATGGGGAGGTTTGGTGATGGGCCCAGGACCACGCAGTGCGGGGCAGCATGCTACGCCACACAGGGATGACCAATGCGCCTGGCCTCTTTCTAGCGCCCTTGCCCCAGACTATGGCTGCCCTGAATGCAGCGCCCAGAAGCCCAAGAATCCCCCCAGGGTCCTCTGCAGCAAAGTACAGGATGGTTCCTGCGTGAGGTCTGGGAAGCAATGGTGGTGGTGTAGGCTTTGCTGTGACACTTGGCCAGAGATTTCTGGGGGGGGGGGGGAGGTGTCTTCCTGTGGCTCACCGCCTTGTGGCACAGGGTCCTGCAATTCCTGCGTGTCCTGATTTCCGAACACCCTGGGTCCGGGGGACTGCCTGCCCTTGGCTCCCCCAGCTCCTGCTGGGGTAAGCCCCCGGTGCCTGGCTTCCACGGCTCTCTGTGTGCCTGGCTGAGCCTGGCTTGAGGCAGGACCTCGTAAGAACGATATTAAAGGATGTGGCTGAGGTCTCTGGCTTTTGAACAGAGAAACTAGGGTTCTAAGGCAGTTCTGTCGGTTCTGTGGGACATAGGGCGCAGTCCCAGGACCCTGAGATCATGACCTGAGCTGAAGTCAGACGCTTACCCACCCGGGCACCCCGGGTCTGTAGTTTTGAGAACGAGTCTTAGTCTCCTCTTCCTCTGGGTCCTTATTTAGAACACGGAGTGGTGAGGTCTGCCTCACGGTCTGGAGGGGAGAAATCAACATAACAAGCGGCAAATCCAAGCCCAGTGCCTACACTTAGGGGACAACTGACGACTAATTGTTATAATCATCATCCTCCCCACTTAGCAGATGAGAAAAGTGAGCTTGAGGAGGTGGCGTCCTTTGCCAGGGATAGCACAGCCCGGAGGTGGCAGGGCGTGGGTCCAACCCCAAGAGTGGGAGGAACCAGCTCCTCGTCTCTTGCTGCGCCTCAGGCCCTAAGGTAAGCCTGGTGTGGGCCAGAGTCGCAAGGACGGGGCAGCAGGATGAAGGGAGGGGGGCCGCCAGCG